TTTGAGATCGTCAATTGCTGTAGAGACACATGCCAAGAAACACCCTGCTTGCCTCCAGGGTGCCCTAGGCTTCTTGGGTTTCGATGGCTTTGCTATGAGAAGCGTGACGTTCCCACACCAGAAACCAATAGACGTCCTGGGGTCTCAGGGTTGGGTTCCTTGTGGAAGGTTTTCTGTGGTCGAGCTCCTGCTGTATGATGAGGTTCTCGGGCCCCGTGGGGCTGTCCAGCGGGGCGCGCCTCGTCGAGAGGCGTCCCGGGGGTGCCGCGAGTGACTCTCGAACGACCGCCCGAGGGGCCTGACCTGCGGCCCGACGGCCAGCCGGCCCGGACCCCGCCGTGTCGCGACGAGCATGGGGACGGAGGCTTCGGGCCGCCGTTTTCGGCCTCGGAAGGCCACCGACATCGACGACGACGACGACCACGACGATGTCACCGACAACGACGACGACGACCACGACGACGACACCGACGACGACGACGACGATGACGACAACGGGATTCGTTGGTTCTCGGTGATTTTCCAGCCTCAGGGGCCCCGGAGCACAACAGCACGAGCGATCTACGATGGACCCGGGCAGCTGGGTGCATGGAGCGGAGGTCGTCGCATGAGCGGGCATGTGCCCCATTCGGATGCAACTCCTGGGAGCCTCCCAGGTCAAATTCTGACCTCGCTCTGGTCCGGAGTCTGGCTTAATGCGGCTTATCCTGGATAATCCGACTTCATCCCGCTGAATCCGGCTTCATCCCGCTCAATTTGCGGCCTCATTTGGCGTAGCAGCTCCCCAAGGGGGCTTGATCCTCCCTCATCCTTCCGGCGAAGACCCCCCAGTAGTTGCACTCTAAGCCCCACTGCGTGAGCAGCAGTTGTCCCTTGTCGAGGCTACAGCCTCCCCATATGGGCACCGGCGAGCTCCCCAGAGGAGCACGCACGACGCAGGCGTTCGCTTCGCTTCGCCCCTTGGACCCTGGAGGCCGCAGGACTGGCGGAGGGCGGCGGGGGGGCTTGGGCGCCCAGGCCCCGTGGGGTCTCTCCCCTAGGGTGGGGTGGGGCATTAGGTGGGGCGGACTCGGGATGCCCCCCGTTGCCAGGCCCCCCTGGCTCGGGGTCCCTGAGCTCGTTCTACTTGGTGTCCCTCCTCCCCCTGGGGTCCCCTCGGGGGGCGGGCTGGCGCTGGCTCCCTCGGGCCTGCGACGCGCCACCCATCGCCTGTTCCGAGGGCGCGATGGGTGCAGCGCGCGAAGGCGGGCCTCACACGCCCGATTCGCGGCGCGAAGGCACCCCTCGCCAGCGCCGAGAGCGCGAGGGGTGCGGGAGGCGGGGGCCCGTCTGCTGTCGCACGGAGGGAGGGAGGGAGGGAGGGAGGGAGGGAGGAGGGAGGAGGGAGGGAGGGAGGGAGGGAGGGAGGGAGGGAGGGAGGAGGGAGGGAGGGAGGGAGGGAGGGAGGGAGGGAGGGAGGGGAGGAGGAGGAGGAGGAGGAGG